ATTTTCTTAATTATGCACCATGTAAGAGTCTGGGTGTCCCTGTATTGTTTTGAAGAAATTGTATTGAGCTTTTCATTTCTGATGACTGCTTGATTTGGTATTGCAAGGGCTGTTGGGTCCCCGCTGTGCAGTCTTCTGTGTGCCTAGCACCCCAGTCACCCGGCTCATGAGTGTCATTGCATGGCAGTCACGTGCCATTTCTGCGTATCTGAGGTTGATACCCGCCTCCCCACAACCTTCCTCTGTGATTCTCATCAGTAAGTAGTAAGCTCTCCACATACTTTGGTGACCCAAAAGATTCCAGGTCTGTAAATATGCCCCAGTGCAGCCTCTGCTCAGCCATTAGAAACTTGGAATGAATTTTAGTTCAGGGGAAAATTAAAGTTTTGGTGGGTTCGAATTCTGCTTTATATAAATCATTGCGTAGCGACCTGTCAGGATCCAAAACTGCAGACTACATGAATGAGCTCAGGTGGCAGGCCCTGAGAAAGGGGCACAAGGTGCCACCCAAGGCTGTGGGCATCTGAGTCCCCCTCAGGATGACATTTCCCCAGGAAAGTAGGTCCTCTGTCTTCCCACTCCCTGACCCCATAACCAAGTTTTCTTAAGTGGGTACCGCAAGCATAGCGCGTCCCGAATGGCCAGCATCAGGGGAGGATCAGGAACAGATGGTGAGGACTTCTCAGCTGACAGCGCCCGGCCAGGTGTGGCAGCAGGGGAACCTGGGTTCGGCTGGGACCATGCCGAGGCTTTGCTTATGAGTTGTGAGTGTCAGGAAGAGACCAGGAGGCAACTTAAGGACCCATGCTTCCAGCTGCTACAGCCAGTGGTCCAGGTCCTGACTCAGCCTGAATGCCATGGACCTGCAAGCTGGTGTGGCCCTGGCTTTGCAGATCTTCTGCATCCTAGGAGGAAGAGGCCAGGGCCATTGGACCGGACATGCTTCTTCATACAGCACCCTGAGCTGCCTTCGCCAGGCTCCCAGGCAGAACTGGGAACCTGAGAGAGGGGATGTGGCCCTGAGTGGGCCGATGAGTATAAGCTGGGATACAGACGCCCGCCTCTCCTGCGGGCAGGAGGCCAGGGTGCCACCCTTGCCACCATCGCCAATCGGAACCCAGTCAGCCCCACCACCTACCCCATTTTCCCTGTCCACTTCCCACTCAGGGCCTGTGAGAGACAATCAAGTGTGTTCCCCAAGCCCGCTGTGTGGGTTCCCTGCTTTGTCAGCTAGTTTCTTCAGCTCCCTGAGAGCAGTACCCCCATAGTCAAGGTGCGCTGGATGTCAGGCCTTTCATCCCTGTGAGGCCACCCTGCTCGCAGGGTCCTCCAGGCAGGTGACTCACCTTTGCCACACTAGCAGGAACATCAAGCCTCCGGGATGGTGCTTAAGGGCTGTAGCCCAGGGTGACCTTCAAAACTCTGGCTTCCTTTGGGGCTGGGGGAGCTGAGAAACAACCCCAGGTGCTGTGGAAAGGTCAGGCAGAGCCCCAGGGAGAGCAGCCCACAGATCTGTTTGGAAAGCGTAAACCTTTCTCCAGCCAAGACCCAGCCTCCCATTTCCTGTAACCGAAACTTGGCTTTTCAACATGGCTGTGTCACTGACCAATCAAATTTCAGAACTGGGCCTTTATTTTCCCTTTGTATCTGTCCAAAAGGGAGCCGAGAAAGCGGATCCCATGTGAGACCATGCATAGATGGCAGATACATGAAATTTCTAGTTCCACTCTCAGAGCAAGGCCACCAAGGGCCACGACTGTTTCAGGTCGAATGATCCCAGATCTAAGAAGATGCTCCTTTCCTTGAGTCTAAGAGTGAGATGGAGCAATCCTCCCTCCCTTTAAAGACAGTATGTCCCATTAAGGTGTTACTGTTTCTCTTCCAAGGCGCTTTTCTGAAATGGAAACCATCGTACTGGGATCTGTTTCCAAGGGGTGATATTCCTGTGGCCAGGAGCACGTGGAACTCTGATTGTCATTCACATCTCTTTGGATGCAGCATTACTTAATCTCAATTAACTGAGAACTCCAATTAATTGGAATCATTCATTGCAATTAAGTTTAGCAAGGAAGGGACAGCTTTACACTTACTTATTTAAGGAATTTTGCTTTCACCACAAATACGTGAATGTAAATTTGATTCAGGGTTGAGGAAATGGGAAAGGACTGTGTGTGTGTGTGTGTGTGTGTGTGATAATGGGATGTGATGTAAAGGAACATGTAAAAATCAGGGTGAGCGCATCATCTCAGTTTTTATTTCTACTCGTGAATCTGGACATTAAATTGATACCATGGGTTTAATTGGGGGTTAGTGAGGGTTGATCTGTGTATTAAATCGCTGGGTCCAGAACGTTAGGCTCTGCAGGAGACACACATCCGGCTCAGCCGATCTCTTTCCTGCACTTTTCTGGACCGTTGGGCAGGGCACATAGCACCTGTGTGCAGCCCAGTCTCTGGTTCTGTAGATCTCGGGCCCAAGGCATTGGACCTCGCTTCCCACCTCAGGGCGTGCTGATGGCTGTGCCCCCTCCACACTGGGAGAAACAGAAGTGGGGACCACCTAGCGTGAACAGCCTGGGGTTTTGGTTCTCCTCTATTCCACACTTCCCCATCACCTGCTCATTGGAAACTCTTAGAAAAAGGGCAGGCTCAGGTGCATCATGACACACTGTGGGTGCTGGTTTTATTTTTAGTGCAGCTTCAGCAAGCATTTTAGGAATGTCCCCTTGCTGGTCAGTCCTCACCATCTATGTACCCTTGATTCCAGGATCCCCACGGAGACTTCAGTCCAGGGATGCTCAAGCCTCTTACATGAATGGGCATAGTATTTGCACATAATGGGTGCACACCCTCCTGGAGTGGCCTTTAAATCCTGTCTAAATCAGCACCTAACAGGGTTGAAATGCTAGGTAAATAGTTGTGATGTGGGAAATCATAGCAAAAACGTCGCCCAGGACAGGACAGTCTCTTTTTCCCAGCCTGTCCCTGGTTGTATCCACACTGACAGCGCCCATGGATAGTCTGCAGAAGACATTATTGAGTGTGTTGCATTGGTCCCCAGCCTTCCTCCAGGGCAGGGGTCACTGCATCTGGAGCATGTGTCATCCACCTGGAGGCACACCTGCCACTCCTGTTGATCATGCGTGGCAGCTTCCTGGCCTCTGGCCACAGTGCTCTGTGCCTGTTACAACTTGTGCCCCGGTATAAAATCCAAGGAAACAAGAGACTGAAAATTTAGGTAGCAAAGGCTTTATTTCTAGGCCTGGTGGCAAGTCTCAGGGAGCCAATTTGGAGACTGTGTCCCAGAGACTGAAGGGAGGACTTTAAAAAGAGGCTGGAGGAAAAGGGTGGGGGGAGAAACAAAGAAACCTGCAGAGCCATCAAACTTGTTGACCCCAATCTGGAAACTGTATTGCTGTCCACTTAGCTCTGACAATCTCGGGAGTTCCTGGTGTTTCTCAAATTACTCCCATCTTACAGACTGACATTATCTCAGAGTGGCACATCTGTAGCAATATTTGGGGAAGAAAGTGGAGAGTTAATTATCCCAGGACAGCTCGTTTTCGCTAGTGGGTGCGAATGGGTCAAGAGTTACAAGAAGCTGAAACTTATGTTTTACAAAGATCTGATATCTAACTCATTTGATGCATACAGAACAAAAGGAAAGCACCGATTGGGGTTTGGGCCATAGTATTTCCCGGTAATTTCTTTGAAGCTAAACAGTTCTTAAAATTGGGGCAGGCTCATTTTATGACAGATCATCACCGGGTCGGGAAGAGGTCACCAGAAACCCAAATTCTTTATGGCCTAGATAGATAGGTGAGGGGAGAGGGAGGCAATAAGGCGCCATACAGAACAGAAAACGGTGGTTATGTGTCAAGGTCAGGTAAAGGGTTAAACTCATACACAAATCTCTCTGCACACAAGCAAGTTACTTCAAACAAGTGTAAATTAGTGGGCCATGCTAGTTTTCTTTAGCTCTTTAGGGGAGAATAGATGCGCCTAACAGTGATTAACAACCCTTGTTAGCTTGTTTTAGCACAACTTCTGTAGTTTGTAGAGGGCAACAGTGGTTAACATATCAATTAGGTGAGATTCTTGCAATTCTTTACAGAGGAGAGTATTGCTCAACATATCAATTAGGTCACTTAACATATCAGTTAGGGAAAAAGGATTAAAAAAAACACATTTAGTAAGCCACGTTGCAGGTTTGCTATAATACACATATAACGAAGCTATTTTCTTAGAGTACAACAGTGCCTACCTTCCCCTCCACCCCCCTCCCGGCTCCTTCCACCACCACGGTTCACCTGGTCCCCCCAGGCACCCACCTGCGCCCCGCACATGCCAGCCAAGAAGCAGTTCTGGCTTCACACAGGTTTCTGTCCTCACCTGAGGTCCATCGTGGTTTCCCCCGCTACACCCTATCAAAAACAAAATCTGGATTTCCTGGTAGAGCAAACAGAAGCAATTTATGAAGGCTTTAAGCTCAGCAGGGAAGAAGGCATATATATATATATATATATATATATATATATATATATATATATATATATGGGCTAGATCTGCCCAGCACTTTTGCGCCCTTGTATTTTATTTTAGCTCCACGCCCCCTTTGGAAAGATGGTGCCTTTAATTTCCAGTATGCCGCCAGCCACCAGCTCTGTTGTGTCACTGGGTCTGAGGAATTTAATTACTTGTTTAGATCCTTCCTTACTCTAAGGAGGATTTACGGTGATTTCCATCTAAATGGTGAGGAAAAGCGGCTGTCTGCGTAGTCCCCCTACAGATTTGTAATCCTCCGGCTCTGTATGTTTTAAATTAAAAGCTCTGTGACATTCTAATCTTTAAATAAACACTCTTTAAATCATTTTAAAGGATGCAGCTATTTTTGTGTCTTTGGAGCTGGGGTTCCTTTGGCGCCCTCTCCCTCCCCTTACGTTGCTCTGCCTTCCCACCTGGCCCCCCTCATCCTTCCTTTGCTTTTCTCACTCACTTCTGCCTCACCTGCTAGAGGAAAGCAAAATGCACTGCCTGGCTGCCAATCTGCCTGTCTCCTTGCCCCGAGAGCCCTTCTCCGTTTTTCTGCCTCTCCGCGAGGAGGGAACTAAAAGCGGTGCCCATTAGTGGGTGATCCTCCCCGCCCGCCTTCTCGTTCAGCCCTCCTGGTACTGCAGAAGAGACGAGATGAGTCCTTTAGTGAAGCCGAGTGCAGGGTGGGCCCAGCAAACCTCCCATTACTCGGTTGTGATCCATACAGCGGCTTCTGCTACGCACCGCGCCAGGAGGCCTCCTCTTCAAGGCCAGGCTCGCCGTCTTTTGTACTCAATAAGAGGTCACTGATTTCTCCAACCTGCCGGTCACGCTGTCAAAATTTCCAGGATCCAGAAGGGTAGAGAGGCTGAGATTTCATTCATACCATTTACAGCCCTGCAGTAAAGTACAGCCTCTGTAGCAGAGACACAAGAAGACAATCAAAGCGCTGAAGACGAAATTGACCTGGCAAGGCAGCCGCTGGCACTTGCACCACACCATGAAACCACAGGAAAGAAGAAAAGCACTCTTTCTGTTGCTGTGACTGCAGAACACACAGGTCCATTTCACAGGCCAGGTGTCCAGGGGCTGAGGTGAGCAGGGATGGGGGGCCAAGGGGCAGCCTCTGCCCCACTTCCAAATGGAGAGCTAGAGAGTTCCTGCAGCAGGTGCAGCGTGCCCCAAGACCAGCATGAGGGGCACTGCCCTCCGGGGGTCCCCATGCCTGAGTATGAGGTAGCAGGAACCCCAAGCCCACCCCACAGGTGGTAGGGGTGTAGGGCTGTACAAAAGAGTTCCGCTTGCCAAACCTGCCTGCACCTGGGTTCCTGCAGGGATTTGCAAACCCAAAAATCACAGCAGCAGCAAAAAATAGTGGATGGGAGACAGGGCAGTGATCAGAGCCTGCTGTGTTCTCACCTCTTCTGTGAGAAGGATGCAAAGAGTCAAGCGCACAGGCCGGCAAGCAGCACCAGAAAACCAGGGACTGTAGAGAGGACAGGATGCTTGGTGCCTGCATCTGGTCCACGTGGCCCCCAGCGCTGGCCTCTGAGGAGAGCAGGTGTCAGGGTCCACACCTGCTGAAACCATGTCTGTCCTAAGGGTCTGCGCTCTTGACAGCTTCCACAATGGACTTAGGCACTTCCAGGTAAACGCCAGTGTTTATGTGCATATGATGCATATAAATATACTGTACATTCATGCGTGTGCATAAGCACATGTGTACATGCATGTAAATACATAGGTTCAAATATACGCTTGTATGTATGCACAGGCACGATTTGCGTTTATACACCTCCACCTACTGAAGTTAACTTGGAGGCAATACCATTATGTGCATAATGCTGATAGAATATTGATAAATAACTCCAGTCTGTGATTCTATGCCTCATGTGCATATACATCGTACTGTTTGTGGCCACGGTTTTTCGATGTCAATCAGTACTGCATCTCTGAGTGTAGAAAGAAGATAGGTTATACACCTTTTGTTGCATTTTTCCATGTCATCTTGGAAAGCCCAGCTGGAAGCCATCAGAGTCACTCAGTTCTTTGGAGAACCATGGGGTCCAGCTGGGTAGCTCCACAACCCATCCCACGAGGGGGTCCTTGACCCGAGGCAGGGCCTCAGTGCCAAAGCTAGAACAGAATCAGAGCATGAGTTGGGTGTCCGTCACACAAGTGCGGTGACTTTGTCATTAGCCGTGTGTGACCCACCCCACCTCTGCTTTTGGGGTGTGCAGAATGCCCCAGGAAACCCAACATCAGGAAGGACCCTGGATAGGAGGCTACCACACACAAGCTTTGTGGCTTCACTGGGCCCTTGAGATCATGGTCAGCTCCACGCTGCTTACCTGGTTTTCAAGCTGCAGTGTTCACTGGTCACTGGTCATGCCTTTGCACTGGCCACTTGGGTAGCTTTTTGGTGAGCTGACCTTGTAGAGCCATGCTGAAGGCAGAAGATAAAACACTAGCGTCTCATGAGCACACACTGCTTGCCCAATGCCCTTCCAGGAATCTTTCTTAGGATGACCCAAATGGGCAGCTGCACAGGTACACATCCAGTGCTGTTCGGGGGTCACTAATGCTGACTGTAGTATTAACCATAACTGGTAATACCAGCCCCAGTGCTCCATAGTAAAGTGCCGTGGCTAGGGTGGAACATCATGAAATAGTGTCTCCACAGCCTGTTTCCAACACTGATGCGTGGTTGGTTGATTGCCACTAGTCAGCCAGACTAGAAAGACTGATCCTGGGCACTGCCTGGACTTTAATGCCCCACAGTTGTCATATTAGCGCTGTGCATATGCACCTCATGGGGATATGGAGAGCAGAACCCAGACATGTGGAAACCATACATATCCTCCTCGTGTGACCCAAGCTGGGATCCCGTCGTCAGGCCAGCCTGTTGCCTTTCTGTGATGTTGATAGTACATAGCTCTGTGCATGTCCCAGCACCTCGCAGTTGGGTGTCATCACATGGGTGCCACCCCAGACCCCGAGGGTGTCTTCTTGAGCTTGCCTGCAAATTCAAGATGATGCCAAATGCCGTGGGTTGCAGTCGGTGATCCCAAGTGTACGTGGCCATTACGTTCATGTGAACAGAAGAACAGTCACCCACATCTCATTTTTCTCCTGATGGCTACCTTTCTAGGTCATTGGTCCAGAGACTTGAATTCCAGCCTCCTGGAGGGGGTGACCTAGCCACTTTTCAGCAAACAGGACATCTAAACATGTCCTACTTTCCCGTCCAGAGACTACCCCATGTTATTTTAAGCTGCCGTAACACAGACTTTATGACCCGTATTCTAAAAATCTCTTCATCTTTTGCGCTTGGTTTTTGTCTCTGCAGATACCGAGCGGCTGTATTCAGTGGTGTGTCAAGAAATCTGCAGTCGCTACCGGAAGCAGTATGGCTGAGACATGAAGTCACTGATGATGGGGAAGACAGCGTTAGAAGCTGCCCAGATCATCATAGACATCCTGCAGCTCCCCATGTGCAAGGAGGAGCTGGTGGAGGAGTGCCATGGGAAGTTACAGGCACTGTTCCCCACCGCTGAGCTCATGCCAGGTACTTCCTCACCCTCTGCTCCTCCCCTGCCCTTCCTCCCTACTCCTCCCTCCTTCCTCCGCTTCTTCCCGCTGTCATATCCCGTGCCTCAGCATTGGGAGCACTGTACATCTCTTTAAGTCCAGAATGCGTAGTTTATCTTGTTGCATCTTGCTAAGTCTCAGGACTGCACCCGTGAGATCTCCATTGGCCCTAGAGGATGAAGGTTCAATCCACCTGCTTAAAAGAACAGACTTCAGTTGCACAGATGTCTGGGGTGCAAAAATCACCTGAGCTTTATTTAATGTAGATTTTTGTTTTTGTGGTACAAGAGGTCAAATCCAGCCCTGGCTGGCACTCCACTACTGAGCCACACCACAGCCCTATATTTAGTTTCAATCAAGATTAGACTCAGGTCAGAATTGCTTCATATGGCACGCTAGTAAGTGGCTTCACCTCTTCCTCCGTGAAATCAGACACAGAATTAAAATTCCAGCAGTTATTCAAACTTTAATAAATTGATAAGGAGCTAAAGCTCCCCATACGAGTTTAATTATAAAAAAAATTGCAGCCCTAGTTTATTTTCAGTATGCCTGTGCATCACATAGATAACCATTCTAGTGTTTGTGTGTCTGTCCATTTATTTGGGGGTGCTGAAGAGTGAACCCAGGTCTCACACAGGGTGGGCAGTAGCTTACCACTGAGCTACCCTCACTGCCCCAGTCCTGGATGGAATATGCGTGTCTCAGTATCTGGTGTCTCCTCGGAGAAGCTGCTCCATTCCTGCGGTCCGATTCACCCTGGTTCCATTAGAAAGTAGACTTCGTGCTAGAAGTGAGAATGACAGACATCCTGCATTTCAGGTCAGACAGTACTCAAAATGGGCTCTTGAGTACACCTCTAGGATGACAGTACAAATACTGTCTTCTGTCTTTAGAATTCCTGGCGCCCAGGGAGGAAAAACCAGTACTTCATAATGGTAGTATAATTTTAGTTTTAAAATTATATTAATATTGTGCACACACAATTTTGAAATGCATGTTGTTATTTATAGTTATACGTAGACAGCGATTATCTCCAAACCTGCCAGGTGAATGTTCCTGGGAATTAGAGTTTTCCTGCAAGAGCTTCACATGGTCTGTCCTTGGATGTCTCACACACACACACACACACACACACAGAGCTTGTGATTATTCTCCCTGAATCTGCTACAAGCCGAGGTCTCCATCGCAGGCTCGGTGAGTACCAGCTCCATGGTACACCGCCCTATGCGTCTTTATCTATCCACAGCGGCTGCACCAGAAGTTGTCAGTCATGGCGACTCTTGATGCAAACACAGCCAGACCCTTCATACAGTCTTAATTGTGGTTTCAGGAAAATAAGAACAAAGTGCTTCGCATCAAGCATAACATCTTCATCCTAATTTAAAGGCGCAGGAGTTTGTGAGTGTTGACTCAGTTTGCGTGGTTACACAGCAGTTCTCCTGAACTCTTCAAAGTCTAAAACACCCTCTGAACGAAATCTGCTGTGTCTCCCTTTTCTCATCGGTGCCTGTTAGGCCTCAGCACCCACCGTGGGTCTCAGGCTCAGGGTTCTCCTGTCCCCGCTTCCAAAGTGCTAGGGTTACCAGCGTGTCCCACCATGCCTGGCTCTTACGGTTTTGAAATGCCTTTTAGGAACACCATCGCACATTCACTAGGTCACTTCTTTCAGTCCCCTGATAGATCTTTTGACTTGCAGAAACTTTCTCCTGTAACCTAAGTGGTGCTGTTGTTTGGAGCCGTTGGTTCTCTCCAAGGAGCTTGTCACCCTGGCTTCCCTGATATGAACTTGGCCATTATTATTGGAGGACTTTGGGATAGCTGTGGTGCTTTTCAGGGGAACCCTGGTCCTTATTTTGAGTGTGCTTCTTGGCTCCAGTGTAGAACCGTCAACCTAATGGCACAGATTTTTCCCCCGACTGGCATAGACTTTCTAGGTTCCACCTCTGACCTTTGGGCCTTCCCAGCGCAGATCCATAAAACAGCCTTGCATGAGTCATTGTCTGGGGCTCTAGGCCTCCAGCAGGATTCATGGGAGGCACTGTGATGGGCTGCTGGACTTCAGCTGGACTCTTGCAGGACATTGCTGTGGGATCCAGGCCCCCAGCTCCATTTTCTAGGTCTTTAGTGTTGTGGACAGATTCTTGCACTTTCTTTTATTTAACTCTGGGTGATCATCATAAAATAATATTGTAAATTGTGTCCTGTATATAATTGTTCTCCTCGCAACGTCTGACTGCAACTTAAGCTGTGAAGATCTTAATAGTACTAAGATTTGCAGTCTCACAGATGCGGGATGTCTTTCCATTTATTTATAGGCATCTGTTTGTTTTTTTTTTTTTTTTTTCCTTGACATTTAAGTGCTTTATTATTGGCACCAACATTTGAGTCTAGGGACTGATTTCCTACAATGTGAAAATAAGTAATTTACATCATGATAATTAATGTTATGTAATGTCACATTTATTGTACATTTTGAGCATTTATGTTGCATTTTTGTTTTATCGCTTTTCTTTACTTTCTTTTATTGCATTCATTGTTTTTATTGTTGCTATTCTATTGTTTTATGTGTGTCTTTGGTTTCTTGCAGCAGTCTTTTGTGATTTCAATGCAGAGATGTTTCAGTTCTTATATGTTTATTCCTAGATACTGCATTAGGTTTCTATGTAATTTTGAGTGGAATCGTGTAATTTACTTTGAAAATTTATATTGTTTCGTGTAGAGAAATGCATCTGATTTTTAATTTTCCTTTTAACTTTTCTAAACTGCTTTGTTAGGTTTACAGTCTGGTGTGTGATCTGATATAAAATCATCTCTCTTGCCTAATTTTGCTGGCGAGGACTTCTAATACTGGGTCAGAACATCTCACCTTGTTCTTAATCTTAGAGAGAAGCTTTTAGTGTCTCCATTAAGTAGGTGGTAAGCTGTGAACTTTGTATATATGACCTTTATTAGTTTACCTTGATTCCTTGTTTGCTAAGTGCTTTGTTGTCTCAGTAGATCCAGAAAATGGAAAACTAAAATAACAGAAACATCAAAACATCACCGTCATCATCATTAAATCTCAGGGCTTCAAGCTTTCCTTGGATCCTCTGCTTCTTTATGGTTCCGCCTTAGGAACTAGTCTATTTTGAGGGCATCCGTTCTGCCATGAAATGCACTCTAAGCCTTGTTTGTTTCTGTGGTATTGATTGTAATTCCTGCTTTTTATTTCTGATTTTAATTATCTGTGTTGTCTTCCTTTTTTTTTTTTAATACCGTGCTTACTTCCTGACCTAGAGTCCTTTTCAGCATGCAAAGTGCCCTTAATGTATTGGATGTGCAAATGTCCTTTGCTCTCAGGTCTTGTACCTGGTTTTCTTTGTACAGTTCTTGCCCTGTGTCCTGAGACATAAGTCTCAGTTTTGAAAGTCTGCCACGCTGCACCTGGCTGGTCTGGCCTCTAGGTAGGGTGCTAATGAGTGTATTTTATGGACTTCTCTTGGAGGTGTGATAACCTCATTTAAAGGAACAAGTCATCGAAAATCCTAGAACATGAGCAACTCCAAGCCCGGAGCCAGCCTTCAAAGATGGCGTGGTCCTGCACAGCTCCCCTGCTTGGCTTTCTGGGCATCTACCTCTTTTTAAGCTCTTCCAGGTCAACAGGTTAAAGGACTTATTTCATTCTTTTTTTTTAATCTATAGATCGTATTTTTAAACAAGTTTGTGTGTGTGTATATTTGTGTGTGTGTGTGTGTGTGTGTGTGTGTGTGTGTGTGTGTGTGTGTACTTAACTTTTACTAGCTTCCCACCTGGGAGTTAGTACTTACCAAAGATAGCAGGTCTGCCTTGGAAAATAATGGTGTGATCGTATCTGTGCACTGTGTCCTCAGCTGTGTGTGTTTAGACAGGAATGTGAGTGCAGTGTGCAGACAGCCGGGGGACTGAGGGCAAAAGCCGTGATAACCCTGGGGAGGAGAAACTCAAAGTCACACAGGAGATGCCGGGTCACCCAGAGCCAGCGTTCAGGGATGCCCCTGCAACCTGCTCAGGGGAGGGAGGATGGGGCAGGTGATCAGAAATCCACATTTCCCCTAGAGGGGGGAGGAACGCAAGGAAAGTGCAGGCTCAAACGTCAGGAGTGGAAACTGTTATAACTCATGCCCCGGTATAAAATCCAAGGAAACAAGAGACCGAAAATTTAGGTAGCAAAGGCTTTATTTCCAGGCCTGGCAACGAGTCTCCGGGAGCCAATTTGGAGACCACCCCCAGAGACTGAAGGGAGGACTTTAAAAAGAGGCTGGAGGAAAAGGGGGGGTGGGGAGAAACAAAGAAACCTGCAGAGCCATCAAACTTGTTGACCCCAATCTGGAAACTGTATTGCTGTCCACTTAGCTCTGACAATCTCGGGAGTTCCTGGTATTTCTCAAATTACTCCCATCCTACAGACTGACATTATCTCGGAGTGGCACATCTGTAGCAATATTTGGAGAAGAAAGTGGACAGTTAATTATCCCAGGACAGCTCGTTTTCGCTAGTGGGTGCGAAGGGGTCAAGAGTTACAAGAAGCTGAAACTTATGTTTTACAAAGATCTGATATCTAACTCATTTGATGCATACAGAACAAAAGGAAAGCACCGATTGGGGTTTGGGCCATAGTATTTCCCGGTAATTTCTTTGAAGCTAAACAGTTCTTAAAATTGGGGCAGGCTCATTTTATGACAGATCATCACCAGGTCGGGAAGAGGTCACCAGAAACCCAAATTCTTTATGGCCTAGATAGATAGGTGAGGGGAGAGGGAGGCAATAAGGTGCCATACAGAACAGAAAAGGGTGGTTATGTGTCAAGGTCAGGTAAAGGGTTAAACTCATATGCAAATCTCTCTGCACACAAGCAAGTTACTTCAAACAAGTGTAAATTAGTGGGCCATTCTAGTTTTCTTTAGCTCTTTAGGGGAGAATAGAGGCACCTAACAGTGATTAACAACCCTTGTTAGCTTG